TCACTCAAGTATATATGGAGTTAAAAATGAGTATGTGAATCATGTGGTATGGTGCCTCACCCAAATATATATTGAAAGTGAAATTAGTGTGTGAATCATGTGGTATTTGTGCCTCACCCAAATATATATTGAGTTAGAAATGAGTGTGTTAATCATGTGGTGTTTGTGCGTCACTCAAGTATATATGGAGTTAAAAATGAGTATGTGAATCATGTGGTGTTTGTGCCCCACCCAAATATATATTGAGTTAGAAATGAATGTGTTAATCATGTGGTGTTTGTGCGTCACTCAAGTATATATGGAGTTAAAAATGAGTATGTGAATCATGTGGTATTGGTGCGTCACCCAAATATATATTGAGTTAGAAATGAGTATGTGAATCATGTGGTGTTTGTGCCCCACCCAAATATATATTGAGTTAGAAATGAATGTGTTAATCATGTGGTGTTTGTGCGTCACTCAAGTATATATGGAGTTAAAAATGAGTATGTGAATCATGTGGTGTTTGTGCCTCACCCAAATATATATTGAGTTAGAAATGAGTGTGTGAATCATGTGGTGTTTGTGCGTCACTCAAGTATATATGGAGTTAAAAATGAGTATGTGAATCATGTGGTGTTTGTGCCTCACCCAAATATATATTGAGTTAGAAATGAGTGTGTGAATCATGTGATGTTGTCACCCAAGCCACACCCTTGTGTGAATCAAATGTGGTATTTGGCTGAGAGAAGTGTGCATCATGTAACTATTAAACTGTTGTATGGTAATAAATCTATTCCATTCTGTTGCTGCATTATTGCTCTTATATAAACATTTTGCCAACTTCTGCTGCCCTAGACTATGCCATATAACATTCGTGCATGGAGATTCTTAATAATAATAATCCATATGCTCTTTCTGCAGATCTTTAAGCCCAAGAAATGCAAGGTATCATGGGTGTTGTCATCCTTTGCTTTGCTTTTCCTTTGTTTGTGTACAGTAATTCACAAAGTATAAGTTGTTACAATTGTCATTATCATCACACTGCCACACTGTGACCTGCCTTTACCCATTCTCATCATGGCTACACTGTGACCTACCTTTACCCATTCTCATCATGGCTACACTGTGACCTACCTTTACCCATTCTCATCATGGCTACACTGTGACCTACCTTTACCCATTCTCATCATGGCTACATTGTAACCTACCTTTAGCCATTCTCATCATGGCAACACTGTAACCTACCTTTAGCCATTCTCATCAGGGCTACACTGTGACCTACCTTTACCCATTCTCATCATGGCTACACTGTGACCTACCTTTACCCATTCTCATCATGGCTACACTGTGACCTACCTTTACCCATTCTCATCATGGCAACACTGTAACCTACCTTTAGCCATTCTCATCATGGCTACATTGTAACCTACCTTTAGCCATTCTCATCTTGGCTACAGTGTGCCCAGCCTTTAGCCATTCTCATCATGGTTACACTGTAACCTACCTTTAGCCATTCTCATCTTGGCTACACTGTGACCTGCCTTTATCCATTCTCATCATGGCTACACTGTGACCTACCTTTAGCCATTCTCATCATGGCTATATTGTGACCTACCTTTAGCCATTCTCATCATGGCTACACTGTGACCTACCTTTAGCCATTCTCATCTTGGCTACACTGTAACCTACGTTTAGCCATTCTCATCATGGCTACACTGTGACCTACATTTAGCCATTCTCATCTTGGCTACACTGTAACCTACCTTTAGCCATTCTCATCTTGGCTACACTGTAACCTACCTTTAGCCATTCTCATCTTGGCTACACTGTAACCTACCTTTAGCCATTCTCATCATGGCTACACTGTGACCTACCTTCACCCATTATCATCATGGCTACACTGTGACCTACCTTTACCCATTCTCATCATGGTTACACTGTAACCTACCTTTAGCCATTCTCATCTTGGCTACACTGTAACCTACCTTTAGCCATTCTCATCATGGCTACACTGTAACCTACCTTCAGCCATTCTCATCATGGCTACACTGTGACCTGCCTTTAGCCATTCTCATCATGGCTACACTGTGACCTAACTTTAGTCATTCTCATCATGGCTACACTGTAACCTACCTTTAGCCATTCACATCATGGCTACACTGTGACCTACCTTTAGCCATTCTCATCATGCTACACTATAACCAACCTTTAGCCATTCTCATCATGGCTACACTGTTACCCGCCTTTAGCCATTCTCATCATGGCTACACTGTGACCTGCCTTTAGCCATTCTCATCATGGCTACACTGTGACCTGCCTTTAGCCATTCTCATCATGGCTACACTGTGACCTGCCTTTAGCCATTCTCATCATGGCTACACTGTGACCTGCCTTTAGCCATTCTCATCATGGCTACACTGTGACCTACCTTTAGCCATTCTCATCATGGCTACACTGTGACCTGCCTTTAGCCATTCTCATCATGGCTACACAGTGACCTGCCTTTAGCCATTCTCAT